TTTTTTTTTTTTTTTTTTTTTTACTTTGAGATGTTTTGAAAGATGTCTAGGTAGAGACGAAGGGCAAATAATTGTAACTGTGGGTCTACGGCTCAAAAGAGAGGCAGGTACTCCTAGTAGAGAGATGGTGGTGTTAGTCACAGATGATGGACAGATCCTGGGGAGTTTGTGCAGAGGTGGCGAAATGGAGATTATGTAGCAAAGAGGGGTCAAGAGGTGGCAGGAGAACCAGAAGAGGAGTGTCAGGATAACATCCAAAGAGAGCAAAATGTTTCAAACGCGAGGGTCATCGCAGTGGCAAGGGATGTGGAATTTAAGACGCCTGGAAAAGCACACACATTCGATAGGGAACAGATCATCAGTGACCCCACCAAGGATCCTTAGGGGAGTGTCTGGGGCTGATGCTGGTTTTTATTTTAGGGGAATGGAAACTATTTCTTTAAGAAACAAGGTGGACTGCGGATGTAGCTTAATGGTAGAGCACTTGGTTAGCATGCTCGAGGCCCTGGGTTCAAAAAAGAAAAGTGGTAGTGCCTGGTGCAGTGGTACATGTTTCTAATCCCAGCTGCTTGGGAGGCTGAGACAGGAGGATGGGAAGTTTGAGGCCAGCCTTAGCAATTTAGCAAAACCCTGTCTCAAAATAAATAAAAAAATAACAAAAAGGACTGGGGATACAGCCCAGTGGTCGAGCACTCCTGGGTTCAATCGTCAGCGCACCCTCCCCCTCCCCCAAAAGAAAGAAACATGCTGGTGAAGGGGAAGAGGAGGAGGAGTAAACTTCCAATACAGCAAATTAACTTCTTGGATCTTTTCCTCTTTTTTTTTTTCAATTTAATATCACAGCCCGCCAGCCATGTGGACAGGGCTGAGCAGAGCCATCCACCATGGAAATATTTCTAGGTCTCCTCAGAGACTCAGTGCAACAGCAGAGAGCCCTCCAAAGATCAGGGGTGGCTCTGTTTGGAAAGGGGAAGCAGTGATCCTTCTGATGTTCCTGTCCCTTTGGGCTTCAAATGAACAGCATGCAAATGAGCACCTGGCTCTGAGTCAGCAGTGAGTAACCCCTCTGCTCTGTGGGATGCTAGGCCTGTGGCATACAAGGCCTCCCTGGCTCCCCTGCAGCCAGGGGAGCTGCTCAAGGCAGCCTCTGTGCCCTGATCCTGGCCTTTGCAGGAGTCACCCCTCCCAGACACAGCTCTTGGGTCAGACCAGCTGTTTGCTGCACTGCCCAGGCTGGTGGGCTCAGTCGATGAAAACTGCTTTACCTGCTTCCTACGGCCTGGGTCCTCCGTGTCATACAGTAGTTCAGAAACTTCGATATTCATTTATTAGCCCAGTATGATGGCGCACACCTGTAGTCCCAGCAACTTGGGAGGCTGAGGTTGGTCTTGAACTTGCAATCCTCCTTCCTCAAAATGAAAAATAGAATGGGCAGGGGATGTAGCACAGTGGTAAGCACCCCTGGGTTCAATCCCTAGTACCACTACCAAAAAAAAAAAATATATCATTTATTAGGTGACCCTGCCTGTGAAACTGATTTATGCTAACTCAACTGTGACAAGGACATCCTGAAAAGAAAAAGCAAATGTAGTTATTTACATTCAAATATATATATAGCTGCCAAGGAGCTGAATTGCTCTGACCAGCTGGATAGCTCCGTCTGTTCCCAGGAGGGAGGGTCCCCAAAGGAAGCAAGACACACAGCCTACTGCTTGGCTTGGAGCCTGAGCAGAGCAGAGTACCAAACCAGCTCTGGGAACTGGTACCAGGAAGACCCTTGGCAGCTGCCAGGCAGGATTCCTGCCTCCAACAGGACAAGGACATACTGCCGCCTGCTGCCTAGCACACCCAGAAAGCCTGCCAGCCTCATCGTTTCCGTCCAGCCTTTCCTTTGAGAATACTTGCTGAATGACCCAATGGGTCTCCTCCATTCCTTCTCCACACAGGTTTTCATTGACTTTCTTAGATGACTGTTCCTTGCTGACGGGGGAAACCCTACACATACCAGGAAGCTACCCTGCAACAATTACCAGGGTAACGTCTGGGGAAGGCCACCACCTTGTGAGTCCAGGCCTGGGTTGGGGTTCCTGCTGGCTTGAGCCACTGGGCATGGGTGTTTGTGTTCTGCCTGTGGCCTGTTTGGGGGTATGTCTTACAGGTCACTGTTCGGTGGAGCTACAGGGCCTGGGCTTTAAGCCATAGGGATGTATAATTTTCGAAGAGGAGTCAAAACCACTTTGGGAGAGGAAACAGCAGGTGGAAAGTTGGGTTAGCTCCACTGCTATGATGTGGGTGGTTCAGAATCAGAGAAGGATCCAAGCCTGGGGCAGAATTTTTTTTTTTTTTTTTAAGCAAAAGGAGCCAGGCGTGATGGCACATGCCTGTAATCCCTGTGGCTCTGGAGGCTGAGACAGGAGAATCGTAAGTTCAAAGCCAGCCTCAGCAAAAGTGAGGCGCTCAGCAACTCAGTGGGACCCCGTCTCTAAATAAAATACAAAACAGGGCTGGGGACCTGGCTCAGTGGTTGAGTGTCCCTGAGTTCAATCCCCGGTACCAAAAAAAAAAAAAAAAAAAAAAGGCAAAAGGAGTCCCTAACTCCTAGTACAGCCCTCTTCCTACTACTCTATAACTTATTTTTAAGTAGAAGAGGGAAAAACAAAAATCCAATTCCCAGTGCCTAGGCCAGAGTAGAGTAACCACCAACAGAACAGCTGTTAACACGGCTGACGCTGGTTCCTGTTAACTGCTTGAGTCAAGTTAAAGGCCTGGCAGGGAATAAATTCTGGCTGGCTTAGCAAGAAGAGAAATTTCAGAGGTAGCCACCACAGATGGTAGCAGATGTCATGGAGCTCTGAGCAGAATCCGCCAGGGACTCCACTGTCTCAGTTAAGCAAAAAAGCCAAGAAGTATCCAGCCAAGCCAACTGCCAATTACATAGCCCAAGAATCCCAGGAAGCCAGGAAGGGTATAAAAGTGTCTTTAATTAAAATCTTCACTGCTTCATCCATAAATCTGTCAGCCATAGCTCTTCAAAGATTTAGAATGTCAGCTCAAATATCTTTGCCTGGCCCAGTGTGGCCAGCAGAAAGTACAAATGTACCATTTGTAAATACAGTATTGACTGCTGTAGTTGTAGGACTCAAAGTAATTCCTTCTAGATCCCAGGGCAGCTATCTGCCTCGTGGGTGCTGGGAGCTACTTGAGAAGCTATTTACTCATTTCCTCCTTTACAGGGCAGGGTAGTGGTTACCAGTGTGGGCTTGAGTCACACAAGCTTGGTGCTGAATAAACAGCTCCACCGCTACCCAGTTACTTAACCACTCCAAACCCCATTTTCGTTATATTTTAAGCAGGGATAATAGTGCCTACCTTACTTGGAGGTTGAGATGATCACATTTGATATTGCATGTAAAGTAACAGTGCATGGTACCCAGGAAGTGCTCAAAGAATGTTAGGTGGCATTCCGTATCTACAAATGCTAGAAGGGTACTGTTTGGTATTGCCATCATCCTTATGTGTCCCACAAATTTCTGTATCTCATGGCCACTTATTAGCAGGCAACTCTATATGTGGGTTTGCAGATAATCTGCAATCTTATAGTTGCCAACTTATAAAAAAGTTATAATGAGATGCTGTTAGACTTTGTTACCTTGTAAAGTTGTGATTATGGATACTCTCAAATGTCCAAGGTAAGTTTTTCTCTTATATTAGGAGTCCATGTGTTACTCAAAATCGGAAAGTACTACTTTATTCTAGAGCACTATCTTTCATTATTAGCTAGAAATCAACTATTAAACCCCCCTCCCCCCAACCCCAAGGGAAACCAAGACTTAGTGTTTTCCCCCAAAGCAACATTTGAGAGTATGCTGGGCTCAACACACACACAGCCAATCCAATCACTTCTATTTTCTGAATTTGCATCTTCAGGCATCAAATGACAATAGTGTCAAAATAACAGTTGTGTCCCATATGATTTCCAAAGATTCAAATATGCTCTATTTTCCAGGGCAGGGAATGGGCCAATGTCATTAAGAATGTTTCTGTCATACGAGAGTTTAGTTATTTTGTTTGTACACAATGGGTGATTAATGGAGAAAACTGCTCAGGATGTCGACTTGCCCAGAAACAGAGGGCTAAAAAGGCAGGATGGTGAGCAGGCAAAGGCACAGAAAAAAGCCCCGCTTCACTGGCCATACCTTGGGGAAAGTGTGTTGGAGCTCCAATCATCCAGATAATGGTGACAACCTTAGACTGGTCCAGTTGAGTTCACATGCCAGAAAATAAAGGTGCTTTGTAAAGACTAAAGTAGTACAAACAAGAACCCCACTGGTGACCTGCTCATTCTTGCCCTGCATGGTCATGGGCCACCTGAGCCAGCACTGCATCCTTCTTCTCTCCGCGATCCCTGCTCATGAGCTCTGCAGTAGTGCTCACCAGCACTTCCCCTTTCCACAGCCTAGGACTTGTTTCCTAGCATTCCAAGTCTGACTATGAATAACCACCATCTTTCCCTTACCCCAGGGCTCAAGAAATGGACCATACATACGTCACATCTTGCCAATGTCTATGGAACAGAGGACTTAAAATTAATTTAAAAACTGATTGGGGAGGACAGGGGTTAGGAATGAATAGACAGAGCACAGAGAATTGTTAGGGCAGTGAAGCTATTCTATATGATGCCATTATACATCTGTCCAAAGCCACAGAACCTGTAACATCAGGGTGAACTCTAACAAAACCATGGACTTTGGTTGGCTATGTGTGGATACTGGTTCATGGATTGTAACAATGTACTACTCTGGTAAGAAATGTTGATAACGGGGGGAAGCTGTGCCTGTGTGGGGGTAGGAGATAGAAATCTGTACGATTTTGCTAAAAAATCAAAAACAATATATGTTTTAGGCACCTTTGTTTAAAACTGCTTTAAAAAATAAAGTACATTACAACTGATTTTATACACACATACACATTTGCTACTAAGATGAATCTGGACGAATGTGAAAATTTAAGAAAGCTAACTCTTTTATTTAACACCAAAGCTAATGTCAAGTGTTTATTTAAAAAAATAATGGCACCTGCTTTGAATTCATTGATGACACCACCATGGGGTGGAGATCTACAGAGAAATTACAATTGTAGTCTGACGTGAAACTATGTAGTATTTCACAAAATGGAAATTCACAAACATCACAATCAACATTTCCAGTTTCTACTTTCAAAACCGCTAAGTGTTGCCTAAATGCATCTTAAACAGCACATTTTGTTGAAACATTTCTCTTAGGACAAACATGGCAGACATGCTTTAAATAAATTAAAACTACAACACATAAATCATTCCTAGAACAATCAAGGTACATTACTTTCCAGCTTTTTATAAACGGAATTGTATTGACTTCAGAAAACCGTAGGTTAGTTCTACCTCTACCTTAGGGGTTACCAAGCTCCTGTTACCTGGAATTTTTTAAAGCTTCTTACTCACTTTTGTTGTGAATAGGCCAATCTGATTGTTTTCAGATTTATCTTTTAGAGACTCACTCCCTTCTAGTGTGTGTGCTTAGCCTTCTTACCCCTCCAGATAAGCCTGAAATTTGAAACAATGCCATGTCTTCACAACCCCAGCCCACTCTTCAAAATTAAAGGAACAAGCAAAATGCATTGTTTAATCACACATTTTGAGATTAGTATTTAAGTTGTTTCAAACCAATACAACTCTATCTGCATTTAATGTAAAAAAAATAAATACATCGTTCCCATTCAATGCAAAATAATTTGGTATTTAAAATTCAACCGAAAAGGACACATGTAATTAGTTGCCTGAGGGAAACTAGTTCCTTCTGTATTATTGAACCTATAATTAAACCTGATATGCTAGAAAAGTGACAGGGCAATAAATACACACTGGGGGCAAAATCTAAATGAAAGTAAGACTGACAAGGCAGGAGGAGGGCTAAAGCCAGGAGAATGCTGATCCACAGGATAATTACCAAGCATCTCCAAAGTGAAAGGGGTGTTTCAGAAGATTCCACCCTATCAGTAGGCTGTAGGGATCATGCCGGCCTGACGGCTGTGTCTGCTGTCCAAAATCAGCCCTGGAGTGCTTTAGGTGCTGCTTTACTGTGTGTGTGTGTGTGTGTGTGTGTGTATGGGTTTTTTTGTTTGTTTCAAGAAAAGGTTTTGTTCTGGCTTAATCATACCCCCAAAGAGGAGCTGAAGTAATTCAAAACCCACAAGAATTTTTTAAGTTTTTGTCTTTAATGAACCATCATTATCCTAGTTATCATGATGATAATAGGTCACTGAACAACCTGCCGCTAGAATCCCGCATGTTAAATGGCTCACTAAGGCTTATGCAGTGACAAGGTACTTCACCCAGCCAACAACTGGTGTTCGTCTTCAGACAGGCACAGGATTTTTACTGCCAAGGAAAGGTGCAAACAAGGGGCCAGTTGACTTAAATGTCAATTAAATCTCCGATTCCAGAATATGTCACAGCCATATCACTATTTTTTAACTGTATATTTATAAGATGTTATTTCATTAAGAGAACAAACAATAAGAGGTATGTTCCTTAAGAGGAGAACACGGAAAAGCGTGAGAATAAAGCTTCATGAACTTTCCATGAGACGTTAAAATAAATGTGCATGTAGGCAGAGCATGTCCAAGTGAAAACAAGGTTATTTGACACTTAGTGAGAGTCAATGGAAATATGAATTTTTAAAAGGAATTCATGATCAAGTCGGATGATTTAGGCCCTCCACTATTTCCAAATGGAGCCAGTTTCTAGGAGGTTCTGTTAATGGCTACAGACTGGAGGGGGCAGAGCGTGCTGCTTCTCATTTTCTTCTCTCCTCTCTTTGGGGAGAAGACACACAGATTCTAGGTCTGAGATGTGTCAGTCACAGCAAGGGGCTGGCAGAGAGTGGCGTGTGCCCTCACAGAATGGTGCTCTCTTCCTGGGTCCTTCCAGAGCTCTCAGCCTCAAGGTAGAAATCCTACTCATTCCCTCTGAACTACCAGCAGCATCGACACCCATCCCACCTGTGGCATGTCCAAAGAACCCCTCAGAAAGATCCCCAAGCAGTAAGATGAGCTCAGCTCCTCTTAAGGATAAAGGCTGATGCAAGCACACCATTCTTTCTCCTTCCCTGCTCTCGACCCAGAACCCTTGTCTGTCTGCTGGACTCAATGGATCACAGTGTATACAGTCAGCTTGGGAGCCCTGGGGGTGTCTGGCACAGAGAGGGGACATAACCATGCAATGGGGTGGGACTAGTAACTCCCTTGTCTCCGATTACAAAATACTTTATAACCAAAGATTTCATGAAACAATGTTTATTGTTTTAAAAAAGCTTCAGTCTGGAATCTGGGATTGCGGTTGAACAGTTTGTGAATTTACTAAAAACTACTGAATCTTACATTTAAAAAAATAGATAGGTTGAGTCGTGTCTCACGCACACGTGCTAGACTTTGTAGTAAATGCTCAACTCTTCCATTCTTTCAAACCATGGCACTGTCACATTTTTTCCAGGGAGATTTCCCTAAAAACAACTGTTAGCAAAATATTGCACTTAATTTAAATCCAGGAGAGCTGACGTCTTCTGGAAGAAAATCTACATTAATCTGCATCTTTACACCGGCCTTGGGAAGGTGGGGGTGGTTCCAGGAGGAGGAGGAGGGGCTGAATAGCAGTTCTCATTAAAATCGCCTATGTCTTCCTTTTTGTTTTACAGAGAAACAGATTTAAAAAGAAAGTATTATCTGAGCTGAAGATAGAATCCTCCAAACAGGACGAAGATATTAACTTGTGAATGCTTTCCTTCAGTGGCAGGGTGGCAATCTATTACCTTGGAACTTTTCTCAGTGAGATCCTAAGAGACAGATGGCAATCTTGGCTCAAATTCTAGATTTAATTTATTCTATTCTTGCTGGCCTTTCACATCCTTAAAAGGACCCTCTCAATCTCCATCCAGGTGAATGGCTTCCACTCATCTGGTCACAATCCAAATAGACCAAATGTCATATCTTCCTCATGCTTTCAGTTTCAGTGTTCCTACCTCAGTGGATGTTAGCTTTGCAAACTACAATTTTGCGGTCCTTCTTCAAGAAAACACCCTGCAACACAAGCATCATTTGATTTTACTTCCTGAGTAAGTATTGCCATCTTCACAGACCTGAGTAAAACCGATCCCACAAAAATCCCTTCCTCAAAAGAGGATTTGTCACAATTAAGATTTGCCAAAACACAAAACTCTGGAATGGTTTTCACAGGGCCCAGAATTAACAAAGCCAGTTTGTTGAGGAAATGGAAATATTTCTGCATACTCCAAAGGTTATTTGCTAAGGAATTAAGACAAAATCAGGTGGTGGTTCCCTGGGAATAATCCTAGTGTCTTACCATTTAAAGCGCAACAAAACTTGTAAGATAGACCGGTTGGATAAACAGGTGTAAGATTTCCACATTATGAGGTCATGTATGATTGACTACTGAACACTGAGTACATAGGGACATATGCTCATCTGTGCCAAGTGGGACAGATTATACAGAGATCTGCTATACTTCCACAGGCCACAGGTGTTCAGCATTGCCAATGCCTACATTTCTTCTCCTCCTCAAATCATGTCATATCCTTGCTGTTTACAGGACACCACAACCACCACAAAGCTCAACTGTGACAAAAGATTTAAGGGAAAATAGAGACGGAGGCCCCTTTTCTTCTAGGTTGCTAATAATGCCAAGGGCTCAAGAAATAGGGATTCACCATGCTGGGCTCGTCCGGTGGGCAGGGAATCTGGTCTGATTAAGGCAGTGAGCAATGTGGGGAGAGCTCTGAAACAGATTCATGTTAACCAAGTACAGGGACTGAGTTGGCAACTGCTACCGAATTAAGAGAATTGTAGTTATTTACACCACACAGTTCCAGTCCTTATAATCTTCAGTCAGCACAACTGTTCATTTAAAAATTTGGTAGTCTGCACAGTTTTCATTAAAATAAAAACTTGGGAAAACGTGAAGGCAGGAACCAGTGGCTTCATCTTGGTATTATTATCCTTTCTATGGCACACAGAATATGGTCCCAGTTTTTGCAGAATATTGCAAGAATCGTCACAGCAAAGAAGGTGCCAAGAATGTGGAAGCGGCTCTTCATCATGGGTGAGACGAACTTGGCGATGGTGGACACGCACACCAGGATGACAGTCATGAAGGCCAGGACCACGTTGATGCACTTCCCCAGGAGCACCCTGGCGTTCACGGCGTCTGTCTGCAGGGTTTGCTGCTCTTGCTGGTGGAGCTCCAGCTTAGAAATGCGAGTCTGGCAGGATTCCAAGGCTTCCTGTGGGCAAGAGGACAGCGAGGATCAAACGCTGCTGAGATCGTGAGCAAAACGTGTGCGCACATGCAGACATGCACACCCCAGCTCAGAACCTCTTAACGCCTGGGATGCCTCAAATCCCCACGCCAACAAGGAGGATGATGACAGACAAAGCAGAAAAACAAGAACCCCAAGGCTTGTTTTATCCTGCTTTTCATGCACTGAATGAGCATGTGCATACAACCAGAAAACACCATAAATGAAGAACTGTGGTTAAGTTTTTGGACTACACCTGTATTTGAAGTAAAGTGATTTGAAATTTGGCATCTGTTGGTATCATCAGGGACAAACCAGGGGTGGGAGAGGACTGCATTTTGTGATGGCAGACTGCTTCATTTCTGGCACCTGCGATCCCCCACTGCTAGTTCTCACGTCCACTGCTTAGCCTATAACAGTGACTTTGGAGAAAAGTGGCAGGAGGGCGGCAGAAGGAGGCAGGCAGGACGGAGAGCGGGGCAGCTCTGCTCCCATCGGCTCTCTGAATGCTGTGCTCCTCAGGCCACCACCCCAAGCTACCTTCCTAGATGTTGTGCATTCCAAGGTCCAATATCTAAGACACGAGGACTCTGAGTGCACCTCCAGCTGGCAGTCCCCTCCGACACTGTCAGCTCCATCAGAGCTTCCTAAAAGCTCCTCCAATGCAACAGGTCAAGGTGCATTCATATACTGCACCTGCCCAGTGCCTGCACTCAACCCTCCCCTCCAGCACTTCTTCTCAGACTGTGAGGCACCATGATCCTCACACCAGAAGCTTGAGAGGCACCAACACCCTCTCATCTAATCCATTACCTGCTCCATCAATGAAACATCCATGTCTATCTCAATAGTCCATCTCTCTCCTCCCAGTTGCCACCCAATCTATGTCACCAGGATCTCCCACCTGCAATGACTATATACAAATCTCCCCACATACACAACTCATTTCCCAACCCCATGAATCTATCTTCCTTGTATCAGCCCAAGTGATCTCCTGAAGATGCATATCTGTGACATTGCTTTTCCTAACACCATTCAAATCTTCACCACAGGCCTTGGGCATCTACGTGCATGGCCAGGTTTGGTCACCCCCTCCTGCCTCACTTAATGCCAGTCACCCTGCCTCCCCATGCTCTGGGCAAACTGGCTTTTCCCAAGTTCTGAAAAGGAGCATATACTTAACATCCGGGCCTTTATAAAATCTGTACACTCTGCTTGTAGTATGTGTCTTTCCAACTCCTACCTCTCTCTACTTGTTGATCTCCCACTGGTCTTTTAGGTCACACCTTGAATGTCACATCCTGAGGGGAGATGTCCCTCCAACCAGGGGACATGAGCTGCATGCAGACAGGGCCTAGGCCCACCACTCCAGCACAGAGCCAGTGCTCCACACAGCATGTCACCTGCTACGCACTGGCTGAATATAAAAACCCTGGGTGCCAGGAACAGAATGTGAGGTTCGGGAGAGAAAAGCCAGTGAGTCCCTTGGGAGAAAAGGACGTCACTATAGAGTAAGACCCCTTTAGTTCACTAGCCTGATGTCTACATCATTTGCCAGTATCTTTATGCGATTAAAATAGTCATCTTTGCAGGTTTTAAGCAAGCATAATGGCTTCAACGTTGATTTGTTTTTCTTCTGCTGAATATACGCTATGGGCTAAAGAACAGGGTTCTGTTACTATAGTAACTTTCATCATACTAGGCTACCAACCAAAAGGATAAAACTTCCTCAGATCTTCACATGCTAAACAGCGCTGGCTTTCCGCAGTAGCAGGCACGTGCCCAGGAAGCAGGCATGCTTTCCAACAGCAGGCCCAAGGCTTCCTGCACTACAGACATGGTATAAAAAAGGTGACAGAATGAGGCGAAAAAAAAAAAAAATCGAAATTTCAGGCACAATCATTCATCTTTGACTGGGTTGATTAACTGCTTGTACAAATGAATTTTAGAATTGCCTGGAACCACTGTCAATTTTTTTTTTTTTAACTAAAAGAAAACTCCAGAAAATTAAGTAAGTAGTGAATTGCAAGGAATTTTGATTACAGGACCTAGAGATATTAAGCCCCACAATTTTTAGTATTTCTTTGGATCCAGTATTAAACTTACTGGGGATGAGAACACAGGGGTTATCTTCAGATAGTCTTAATTGGGAATTCAGGGCTAAAAGGACGGTGGGGACTCTCAATTGCTTAAAACAATAAAACACTGTGTTCCTGAAGGCAACAGCCACCCTCATCCATCCCAGCTCATCCCTGTTACACGCCTAGTTAGAAGAACCGAGGAAACAGGAAGAGGTGAAGTTGGCAGGCCCACCTGCTGCAAGCCCTGAGGACTGTGGCTACTCAACAAGAAAATAAAGTCAGCCAGACGTCTATGCTTTAAATGTATCATCCGGTTTGATCTTCTTGGCCTTTTCAAATATAGCTCATTAATATTTCCATTTTATAGATGAGGAAACTGAGGCACAGAACATTAACATCCAGGGTCACACAGACAGTAAACAGTGGAGCCGGGATTTGGCGCCCTGCAGTTATTTACACAGGTGTTCTTTTTACAATTTCAAGCTAGAGCTGAAAACCAGAAAATGCTGAAATGAACGCTTCTGAATATCTCAATTCCCTTTGTGAAGTCCCTCCTTTCATCTTTACCCCTAGAATGTTTCTTAGAAAAGAGAACAACACTAACTCAAACCATCCCCTAAACAAGAAAACTGAATGTTCAAGATACAACCCAGTGACACTCTAGGCCTGTTCTAAAATAGAATGACCTAGTAAAAGACTATATCGTCCACTAAGCAACATTTAACAGTTAAAATGGGTTCAGGCTTCTCAAACCAGTGGGTGGTGAAGGTGTCTCCTAACCTAGGGCAGAGCCAGCAATCCACCACGTGTCTTTGGCACTGTGCTCTATGATGCTTTGGTTCCCAGAATGGTACAAGCAGACATCTGGGACTGCACAGGCTCAGCCCTCCATACAGGGTAGAAAAAAACCTGTGCAGATGAAACTGCAGCTCACACACTGCAGGAGAAATCACTATCTTCACATTTCAATTTTCTCCCTTGTAAAGTGAGGTTCACTCAAGACTGCTGGTGGCCGTCATAGAGTGGGAGAAAACAGCCACTGTCTCCAAAGAAGAACATTACTGTAAGGCTACATTTTTTTTTTTTTTTTAAAGAAAGGTGATCAAGAAGCCCAGGGCTGTTTCATGACAGTGGTGGTATCACATTAGGAAATTCCGGATGGGCCTTTGTTCATACGGATCCAGTTATCCCTTTCTTCTATCCACTGGGACCCTACCTGGCCCTTCCAGTCCCACCATCCTCAGGAGTTTAATTCACATTCATTACTTAGGACAATGTGCAAGACCTTACTCAGGCACTTCACCTCTCTGTGCCTCAGTCTCTATATTTAAGAAGTGGAGCCAATAATAGGAACAACCTTAACAGGCTGTTGAGTAAATGGGGGGAAAAGGAGACATGTAAAGAAGGGCTTTGCTAGTGTTGTCACACAGGGTGCTCTTGAATGCCTGAAATTCTTACAAGCATGAAAGATACCCTACAGAGGAGCAAACAGGCTTGCTCAGGACCACACAGCTGGTAACGGCCGACCTGGGACTGAAGCCTGAGGTTTACCACTGAGTCACCCGCCTGCTCCCCCCTGCTGCATTTCTATGGCCTTAGGGTCCGTGCCACTCATCCTGGCCCTTGCTCACATGTCTCGGGCCCCTTGGCGTTGGGTTATTCACCATCTCAGCATAAAGCTTCTTGAAGGCAAGGTCTGTCTTATACTTTAAATTTCCTTGCCCTGTTAGTGGGGACTGAACTCAGGGGAGCTTTACCACTGAGCTAAATTCCCAGCTCTTTTAATTTTTTTGAGACAGGGTCTCACTAAATTGCAGAGGCTCTGGCCTTGAATGTGCAATCTGCCTGCCTCAGGCTCCTGAGTTGCTGGAATTACAGGTGTGCGCCACCATACCTGGCTTCATATTTTAATTTTTTTAAAAATCATTTTATTATCTTGAGGTAGATAATAAATACTTGTTAACTGAGTTAGGCAGAAAGTGTACAGGATACAGACTTAGCAATGTCTATAACATGCGCTAATGGGGTCAGCAGGTGGAGAAGAAATGTTGTGCAGAGAAAAGATTTTGTCCCCCACACCAGGAATCCCGTAAGCTCTAGGATAATTAAGTCCTCAACACTGAGCCCGGGGGAATTCAGGGGCATGCATGTCTAGCCAGGGGAGGGAAGGCACCTGGATGTCCCTGGAGCGCTCATAGGCTTGGTAGGCCACCTTCTCCTCAGCGCTGGCCAACTCCTGCTTCAGGTTGGCCGTCTCATGCTGGTGCAGGTCCGTCAGGTCATGCAGCTGGTCTTCCAGGCGCTCGTACCTTGACAGAGAGGGGAACCCATTCTGAGCGAGGCATTTCACAGGTCTTCTAACAGCGCATTCTAGGATGCGCATTCTAGGATCTTACTGCTGCCAGGGCCCCTTGGCTTGTTTCCACCCCTTGGCAGGCCATTTTTCCAAAAATTGTAAATATAGTTGTGGGATAGCCCTGAATTCCAGCTCTGGAAAGAACTGGTCTCTGGGCTCTTAATGTGGTCTTCACCTTCGAGGTTTCACCCAATCCCAAATCTGGCTTCTCCACCCATGTCACACTAGCACCTGAACTGGTGGCAGGGACACAGGACAGAACTCATGGGCCCACACATTCACCAGGGCTGTGCAGGACCCTGCCCAAGGCAAGGACCCAGCACATTTGCAGTGGCTTCTCTGTCTTCTGGCCCCACAGTACCTGAGGGTTTATGGCCAGAAGGAAAGAGAGGCCGTTACTATCAGCCTCTACTCTGCAGCTAAATTCATCCCTGCCCAGAGTATATACTCATATGGATACGCTTTGTGGCTCTTGGAACTTAAATGTCAATAAAAAAAATTAAACCTGTCACAAAGTACAGATTGGCTTATCAGGTATCATTTACCAAAAGTCCAAATCTAAAGTAAGAGGACCACCGAGATTCCTGTTCCCATGCTCCGCCCTGTGCAGAGAGGACTTGTCTGTAGTGTGAAACCTATGTCTGCTTTAAACAGGATGGATGCACTGTTTGAGGAAGATGACTTAGCTTGGAATGACTGTGATCAATGCCAGTTCTAGACGTTTATGTGGGTCACCTGAGAGAAGAGTTTTTTTTAAAAGGAGACAAAAAAAAGTATGATTCAGATTTAATGATTTTCCTGGTATGGCTATACAGGTGCCAAATGTTGCAATTATTGTAAACAATCCTTTTAAAGGTCTCTTAAGTAATACACAAAGTGATTATATCATAGGTACCACAAACTTTTTTTTTTTTTTTTTTGGACACCAGGGATTGAAACCAGGGATGCTTAATCACTAAGCCACATCCCCAACCCATTTTATTTTTATTTTGAGACAGGATCTTGCTAAGTTGCTCAGAGCCTTGCTAAGTTGCTGAGGCTATCCTCGAACTTGTGACCCTCTTGCCTCAGCCTCCTGAGTTGCTGGGATTATGGGAGTGCACCACTGTGCCCAGCTTACGGTTACTTCTGAAAACTATTTATGGTGAAAAAAATTTAATGAATAAAATACAGCACATAAAAATACATGAAGACTTCAAGACCAACATACCAAATAAAACCTATCTTGTTGTACAATGATTAATTTTTATATGACTGTTATAATAGAGGAAAATCAAATATATAACTCTGAATTAGTGCTAATAAAACTATAACAGAAGCCTTCTGAGTAAGTATCTTAATAGGCGCATGAGTCAGACTGTATAGTGATATTTTAAGAGACCCACGCATATAATGACTTTCTCCAATTGTTACAAATCATGAAAATTGGAATTATGAAAGTTGGAAAGAACTATTGATCCCTAAATGCCTTCTGATCCATAGCCATATTTATTGAAAACACGTCACTTTCAAGTAGACAAACTTTGCAGTTAGTTACTCGCACTTCCAAAGAATTCCAGCAGAATGCTTTGACATACCTGTACCTTTCCTCTTGCAGGGTCTGAGAAATGAAACCATATTCCCTCTTAAACTGCACCTTCAGTGCCTCGATGTCCTCTGCCAGCTGGGCCTGGGTGTCCTTGATCTCCCTCAGCTCCTCCAGGATCATGCTGAGCTTACCCTGGCTGTCTAGCGTGCCAGCCCCACCAGCCCCGAAGGACTGGTTCCCATTGCTGTCAGCCGAACCTGATGTGCCGCTCGAACACTCGTCATCGCTGCCGTACTTGGACTTGTTCACGATGGTAGCACTGCCCCCGTAGACCCTTGCACTGGCCTCAGGCCTAAACTCCTCTAAGGAATTTTTTAAGTGCGCGATGTTGTCGGCACTGCCAAACTTATTTCGAATCAAGTTGGCAAACTCTCTGGACTTATTGAAAACGAACACAGGTGGAGTGAGGGATACCCCTGGCATGCCCGACTTACTGCTCTCCATGCCATGGGGGGCAGTTCGAGACTTCACGTGGGCATCTTTCAGAGAGTGATGTATGTCCTTCAGGTTGTCTTTGGAAATGTCCTTTGAGCCTCTGGAGGCTCCATTCTGTTCGATCTCTCGGAGCTTTCTGTGATACTGCTCTAACTTCTTCTGCAGCTGTGCAATGGAGTGAGCCGACTTCTGGTTCTTCTTCTCAAAGACCTGCTTGATGCGCCCCGCCTGCTGCTTGTCGGCGCTGCTGACTAGCTTCAAATATTCTGCGACATTCCCATCACGGGATGTTTGCTCAATTTTGATCTGTTCTGTTACCTTCAGAATTTTCTGTCTCAGGTTGTCTGCACTGAGTTTGACCTTGTGGAAGTCCAGGATGCCATCTGGGACGTCAAAGTTGAGGTTGGTGTCCGACCCCCCACGGCGTATGTTCCGGGGCAGGCTTAAGGTATTCATATCATGACGTTCTACCTGAAAGAGACGGAGGCAAAGCACTTTAAACCTTGATGTCAAGGAGGCAGTTACTATGACAGGATGTGTGCACACACGACAAACATACTTTAAGTTCAGATTTTCAAAGTGCAGTTTTTATGGGATCAACACTCTGTACCGTCCAAATTGAAGGCAGGACAGCCCAACTCTTTCCGACACCCCACGTATACTAATTAGACACGAGAATCGTGTCTGCAGGGCATCCCATTTGCTGTCAGAAAATGCAGAATGGAATAAGGTCACCAGTCTGTCCTGGTTTCCAGGTGACTGGGAGGCCTGTCGTGCCCTGTCTCCGTTATGGGAAACGCATCTAATTTAGAAATTACTTGTTGGCCAAGAGAAGGAAGAAGGAAAAAGGAAGTAAAGATCCAGAAGGTACATCCATCAGCACAAGAAAATTATTTTTTTAAATAAATAGATGTGATTGGAAAACACAATGCAAGGTAAACTTTAGTCACTGAGTAACACAGCAGAATCTAGAAACAGAAACAAGTAACTCCAAACCATAATCAGTGATTTTTTTTTTTTTTAAAGAAATAATGTCAACCCAAAGACCACACGAAATAGCTTTCTCACTCACAGGCCACAGAGGAAAAAGAACTGCAAAGAGCCCTGAGCACCCTCAAGGGGAGCAGGAGCCTACAAGGGAAAGATCGTGCCAGGTGACGTGGGTGTTTCAACAGACGTCACCTTGTTGGAACCGCATTCCTGTGCTAGGCCAAGGACGGCTAAATCCATAAATGTGTAGAAACTGAGGGTTCCAAGAGTCAGGATTTGAATCCAAATCGCCTAACCCAAGTCTTCTCACCAGTGAATGCACCCTACTCTGACTGTCCTCAGAGGATGAACACTAGGTCTCTGCAGAGTTTAAGCACAATCTCCAAACAACAGCTCAGAAGATCTAAACTAAGCATCTCAGTTCTCAAGTTGACAATCCTTTGGTTAGAATAATGCCATGATACAGGGTCTAAGAGAAACCCAATGGAAGACAAAGGAATATTTTCTTAAAATTTTTTTTTTAGTTGTAGATGAATACAATACCTTTATTTGTTTTATTTTTATGTGTTGCTGGGGATTGAACTCAGTGCCTCACGCATACTAGGCAAGTGCTCTACCACTGAGCCACAAGCCTAGCCCAGACAAAGCAATACTAAGCACAAGTTACTTTTTTTTTTTTTTTAAAGGGACTAACAGACTGAGCAGCAAAAATTCAGCAAGGAATTAACTCAACAGACCTCAGAGTGCTTAGAACGAGCCCAATGTGGATACAGACCATTTTTAACAATGATACACACTACGTGATATATCCTGTCCAGTGCTTTGTCCCTCAGAAGGCGCCCAACAGTACAGCAGGATACAATCCCAAGCCAGCGGGTCAGGCCTCCTCCATAACTTAAAAAGCTTGTTAATGTCATTTCTTGGCTTCTCTTCCCATGTTCAATTTGCATAAATGACACTGGTTGCTTTATCTGTCAAAAGCACATCGTGCAGGAAAGGTGAAAGGAAATAAAAGCCAAATTGCTGTAAGCCTAGAAAACAGGATGTATGAAAACAGTACAGAGGAACTGTGACTTCAAATAGTCAAGGCACAGGGTGAGTGTTGGGGACAAAAAGGGTGATCTTCAAGTCCTAGAGGGGGGACCACAGGAAGCTCAAGGAGGCTGTGTACCTGTGGCTCATTAGTGGACCCAAACAGAAATGGGTCTAAACAATACAACCAAAGAAAGCAGAAAACACAAAAAATGTTCATTTGGAGCAGACGTGGTAATTAACAGTAATAGTACCGTCAGTGAACCTAGAAGTTTGATTTTACTAGAGATACCAGTTCTGATTATGCTGCTGCTTAGAAACCCTGGCTCCCTTATGCCTCTCAAATGAAATAATACAACCTGGCTACCGTATAGCTCTATCAACTTTCAGGCCTCACTTGTTTCTGAAGGATGCCAACCAAACCACCCAAAGTTCCCAGAAACAGTGAGACTTCCTTGTGCGTACATTCCCATTGCCGGCCACTCATCTACTACTACTACTACTACTACTATTTTTTTTTGTGTGTGTGTACCAGGGATTGAACCCAGGGGTGCTCAACCACTGAGCCACACTACCAGCCCTTTTTATTTTGAGACAAGGCCTCACTAAGTTGCTGAGGTTGGCTGTGAACTGTGATCCTCCTGCACCTCTGGAATTACAGGTGTTCACCACCGCACCCAGCCATCTATTGCTTCTTATCAACCCCTACACATGCTTTTAATTTCAAATGCCCCTTCTTCCAAGAAGCCTTTTCCAATTCCAGAAAACCTGCTTCTCCTTTCTGAGCTCCTCCTGCAGTCCTGGGCTCATCCTGAAGCACCTCTCACCTTCCTCTTATCCCTCATCTGTACTTTAACCCCCAGCAGACTGCAAGGGAGTGACCCAGGAGAGAGGGCATCAGAGCTGCACCCAGCCTGTAGCCGGCACTTCCCTCATCCACAGGAGGCTGTCAATAAATGTTTCAAGAGCTATAGTGATATCATTCTTTACTCCAAGGGGTCTACACTTGTTATAGTCAGCGTTTTTGCTGCTGAGACTAAAAGACCTGACCAGAATAATTGTGAAGTAGGAAAAAAGTTATTTAGGGGCTCACAGGTTTTCAGAGGTCTCAAGTTCATAGACATCTGGCTTCATTCCTCAGGGCTCGAGATGAGGCTGAACATCACACTGGAAGAATGTGGCAGAGGGATCCAGCTCACATGATGATCAGGAAGCAGAAAGAAAGACTCCACTTGCCAGATACAAAACATTTACTCCAAAGGCACAACCCCCAAATGACACCTCCTCCAGCAACACCCTACCTTCAGTTACTACTCAATTAATCCCATCAGGGAATTAACTCACTGATTGGGCTAAGGCTCTTATAGCCCAATCATTTTCTCCTCTAACCCTTCTTGCAGTCTCACACATGAGCTTTTTGGTGAACACCTCATGTTCAAACCTTAACAATACTGAAGTTATTTAAGATGCATGTTCACAGAATAAAATACAAGTTCTGCCCAGGTAGCCCTGACAATTCCAGGTGGAGATTTCTCCCCAATACCCAGATAATGCATTCTGCACCATTTCAAACTGATTCAACTAGAGATTTTTTTCCCCAAATATTAATGTGCAGCAAGCTATAAGAACATGAATAAGGACCTTAAACTTTAACTGAAGTACAACTTACACTCATAAAAAAGCACATGTAAATAACGCAATGAATTTTTACAATCTGAACATACTGCGTAACTGGCACCCAATTAAAGAAACACAGCAGAAGCCCTGGGTCCCCTTCAATTACAACTGTATCACCCCCACCACCAGGGTAACCATGATCCCGACCTTAAGAGGTGTACATTAGTTTGCCTGTTACACACATACTCTTATGTTCAACATTCTAAGTTCCATGAGAACTCATTCTTGCCCTCTTGGAGCACATAGATCAGATCAGATTAAGTTGTAAAAAATTTTTGAAAAACCTGTTTGACATTCTCTTTTGGTACTAGGAATTGAACTCCGGGGTGCTCTATCACTTGAGTTACATACTCAACCCTTTTTAAGACATTTTTTACTTTGAGACAAAATCTTACCAATTTGCTGAGGCTGACCTTGAACTTGTGATCCTCCTGCCTCAAGCCTCTCCAGTCGCTGGTATTTATGAGTGTGTATCACCGTGCCTGGCACCCTGACATTCTCTACTAAGAAATTCTCTTCTCTGTTTGGAGATATAAAGGTTTACACACATTACCTTACCAAACTGGGCAGTAAGTCACCACCTGTTCTTCCTCCTTTAATTCCCTGCTGGGCTGGTCAGCCAACTGGGTGGTCTCCACGTAATGAGCCTGGTTCTCTTACACGCTGCGATCTGGCCAGCTCCTATACACACCAGGGCTTATGCAGAGGGCCGGCTGACTTTTGCCTTACTTCAAAGTCCTAACAATGCCTGGCATGTCCTCAAGAGACAGATTGGGGGAAGCAACAACATTTAAAGTCCAAATCATCAATCTTACTGCTTGTCAGCAAGTCTCAGTTAAAAATGTTCGATGTGGGTATAAAGGTAGAACTATTTAGGAGCTGTACCTTTCAGCCTTTTATAGCTGGAGCACTGCATGGATAATTGAGGGCCAGCCATAAACATTACTGTTCAATGCTCATAAATTCCTTGAGCACAAACTGAAATTAGCGTATGTGCTTGGAAAAGCTGTGAGTTCTGCACGCTTCACCTAACCTGGGCTTGGCACTGGCTCCACACCGTGCACCTGGGCTTCCGGGTCAGGACATGGGGAAGAAGAACAAAAGGTTCCCAGATCACCTGGCATCAGCATGCTTGTGGACTATGTGGATCAGGAGACGTGGGTTCGTTTTGGCACTGACATTCACTAGCTATGTGTTCTTGGGTAAATCAAGTCATGTCAGTGGGCTTCTACTCCCTAATCCATAGAATAAGGAGACAGAACCAAACAAGTCAGCGTTAATTCTAGGAAATGTTAATTTAAGCTGTTTTACTATGTGACAAACTGCAACATAGTCAAGATCGCCTGCAATATAATCAAGACAGACTGCTTTGGTTTTCATTTTGCCACTACCTTTATGGGCTGTGTGACCTTGCAAAAATGACTTAACCTCTTTTTGCCTGAGTTTCTTCTTCTAAAGTTGGACATAATGATTTCTCAAAAAGAAACTGTGGGGAATAAATGAGATAATGCATGTAAAGTGCTTAAAGACCTCCCGGCATGTAGAATGATTTTAACATTTTTTGACAATGATTTTGCTATTTTTATCCAGATTTCATTTTAAAATGTGCCTGTATGTGATATCTTAAAGGGAAACACACTTCGAAGTGTTAACAATAGTTACTTTTGCACCGTGGGTTACAAGGTGTCATCTTTTTTTTTTTTTTCCCAATATGCCTTTGTATTTTCCAATTTTTAAACATAAAATGTATTACTGCTTTGGCAAAAAAGATG